GACTGGATGGTCTGTGGAGACTCTGGTGACACCACAAGCTTGATAACCTAAAGAAACAGTGTCCCTTCAGTTTTGTAGGTCTGGATCTGGCAAGGGTCTTCCTGAGCTAAAGACATGGTATGGCCAGGCTGCCTTCCTTTCTGCAGGTCCAGTGGAAAATCCACTTCCTCCTGCCTCCAGTTTCTGGAGGGACTTGTGGATTCTGTCCACTTTCCTCAACTTCAGAGCTGGCAGTAACAGTCAAGGTCCTCTCCCATCCCACCACGGTGACTCTGAGCTCTTAGCCTCCCTTTGCTTCTTTTTCATTTTTATAGGTACTGGGGATCGAACTCATGACTGCCTGCTTGCAAGGCAGGTGCTTATGCCACTGAGCTAAATCCCCAGGCCCCTCCCTTTGCCTCTTGAAGACCCCTTTGGATTATGCTGGGTCGACTCAGAAATTTCTAATCTCTGTTGGACAAGTTTGTTTTCAGCAGGGTGTGGCAGCATACATCTATAATTCTAGCTGAGGCAGGAGGATTGCTGCAAGGCGAAGATCAGCCTGGGCTAGCTACATAGAAGTTCAAGGCCAGCCTGAGCTATGAAAAAGACCCTGTCTCAAAAAGCAAACAGACAACAAGATATATTTTCGTTATGGTAAAACACACACAAAACTTCCCATCTGAACCATGTTCAGGTGCACAGGTCGGGGGCATTAGGTATGCTCACACTACTGACCAGCTGTCCCCACATCCACCTCCAGAATGTCCTCATCTTCCCACACTGAAGCTCTGCCCCCTTAACCACTGATTCCTCAGCGCCCTCTTCCTGCTTCCATCTGCAACTGAATTCTCCAGTGCCAGACAGGACATTCTCACAAATCCCGGGGATGACAAGGTGGGCTTCTGTGGGAAGTCACTGTTCTGCCTGGAAAAGCGCCCTGGGCCTACTGAGTCTCACAGTGCACCTGAGAGGTGGGATTTCCTTATTTACTAGGAGGAAGTTTCATTAACAGAGAAATTAACCACATTAAATCTAGATGGCTTGTTTATGGGAAATCTTACAGAGCAGAAATGACAACTGAGCTGTCTGGCTCATGGAATTTTTAAATGTTCATTGAATAAGCACTATTGTAACAATGATAATGTTGGGGGAAAAACAACCTCACCACGCAGCCTGTGTTTACTGTACTTGAATGACTATATTCCTTACATGGCATCACCTTCACAATCATAATCAAAAGCAAGGGGTCTGTTTCCGTGGCAGAAAATGTCAGCAGAAAGAAGAAAAAACAGAATTCACAACACTGGATGGAAGCAAGGACCTGAAGGCATCTTGGTGTCTCCAGAAAAGCCAGTTACTCAATGTATCACTGTATCACATTGCAATACATGCTCAAATCATTCCATGCAGTTGTTGCTTTGAGCTGGGTCTTGTTATGTTGCCTAGACTGGCCTGGATTGTCTGGGCTCAGGCAAGCCTCAAAGTGCTGAGACCAAAGGCATGTGACACTGTGCCTGGCCCATCCAGCTGGGAAGGTGTGTCCTGGCACTTGAGCATGTGAAATGCTTCTAGCAAGCACCTGACTAGAGAGAGAGAGCTGTCTTGTCTTTTGGTTTTTGGAAGAGGAGGACTCATTATCTAGTTCAGGCTGGCCTCAAACTTTCAGCAATTCTCCTGTCTCAGCTTCAAGAGTGTGCCACTTCAGCTAGTTGAGGTGGCTGTTTTTAATCCTCCTCAGATAAAGAAGCTGAATATCTGCAAGCCAGTGTAGGAGGCAAAGCACCTGCCCACTCTACCAGCGTCTGCAGGGTGCAAGAGCACAGGGCACAGCTCTGGGGCACCTGTGTTCTCTTCTTGGTTACACAATCTGTAGCTGGAGGTAATAATGAAGGTGGAACCAGCTGTTCCCCACCAGAGCCCTCCCTCACCAGTCATTCCACATGCAGGGCCAGCACCCGGGACATGCTCCGTTAACTTCCCATGCAGTCCCTTTCTGGACATCTTTGGTTGAACAAGGACCAGCAAAAGTATCTTCCACACACAAGACAAGAAGTTTCACCTGCTCTCAGTTTTCCTTCTCTGTGTGCACTTCAGAGCTGCCCAAAGTGGCCATCAGAAACTGCAGTGCTTCCCAGAGACCCTTGCTGCCTCCATACCATGAAATCACTCCTCATGGCTGGGCCTCAACAGAGAAAAGCCTGCTAACCTCTGACCTCCAGCTTCCAGTGGCTGAGAGCACAAAGGGGCCCAGAAACCCAGTCCCAAGTTGTTCCTCAGACTAAAGGGGTCCTTGAGATCAAACTTAAAAATTACAGATGTATGACTCAGCAAAATGGAAAGGGACCTGTCCACTTTGTGTCCGGGGTCTGCAAGGCCCCTGCCACATCTATGGTCACAGAGCAAATGGGTAAACAGTGGGCAACGGAAACACTGTTACCATATATCCCGTATCATGTCACACCCGAGTTCAAGATCTGCCCACCCTCTCCAACAGGTAGCAGCAGCTTCACTGGTAGACAGTTCCCTTCTCCCACCCCCAAACTATAGTCATACATGAGAGTCTCCACACTGGGGACCCCTTGATGCACCAAATTTTTTGTGGGAGGAGAGATGGACTCTCAGGATTGTATCACACAAGCAACACTGGCAAAGTTCTGCTATCAAGGTGGAGGCAAGGCAGGGCACTGGGGATGCTGCTGCCAGCTCAGAGGCTGGAGGGGCTTTTCAGCTGGGCTTCCACAGGAGGGCCCAGCAGGCAGGGTATGAGTGGAACCAGGTTTTCAAGCCCTGCTCCTGGCTCCTGCTGGCAGGAAGAGTCAAGGGACCTCACCAGACAGCAAGGACAGTGCCCAAAGCTCAGGGTTCTGGGCCTGTCCCTACACCAGGACTATGGCTGCAGTAAGCTACTCTCAGCTCCTGCAAACGACACGGACATAAAAGCGTTGCACAGCTATGATTTGCATTGTGCTTCCCTTGCTTCCAGGTATAACAGAGTGCCTTTTCCCAAAGGTTCAAAGCCCTCTTGTGCTGGCACTGGGTCTGGGAGCTGCCCAGGAAGGAAGGTCTGCCTGTCCACCTTGGAGGGAGCACCAGCTCCCTTGCCACTGCCCTGGGGGTTTCCAAAGAGGTGGCTAGTCCCTCATCCATGATTGTTCCTTTTAAAGCAGACTGGCCAGAGCCCAGGGCAGGTCCAGGAGCCAGGCCCTTGCTGCAGACACCAGCTCCTCTGCCCAGGCTCAGCCCTTCCTTCAGGCCCTGAGGTGTGTGAGCTGAAGGAAACTAATGCCTCTGACTACACGGCAACCACTGAAGGATTCATTTTGAGAGCTGCAGCTCAGAAGTGATTGCTAAATATGGCATTTTCTGTTCTGATTGGAGACTTCCTTCAAATAAAGATTTGAGGGTGCATTTCAGGTGATAAAACGTGCCCTTGAGAAGGGGACTTTGCTTCACCTGAGAAGCAGCAGGATGGCACATTGGCTGGAGGGTGGTCCAGGCCAGGTCTCTCACGGAATGCAGGACACTGACACCCACAAAGGCACTTTCAACTCCAGAACAAAGTGACCAAGTATCAAAGCAAATCACACAGCAAATCAGTTAAAAAAAAGAAAAAAAAAGGTTTATTCGGAACATTTGATTTTTAAAAAATCATACGTATGAGGTATACTACAGAAATCCAGATACAGTAAGTTGTATGTAAAACCCAACCTAATAGTGGGAAAAGCAAGACTGCAGAAATCACTTCCAGAGAGAAAACATGCACATCAGGACCGCCAAGTGTCCCCAACAGTCATAACATTTCCGTGGATCTGTCCCCCAATCATGTGCACCAACAAGACTGGCCCTGGTGTCTCAGGAAGGACAGGTATTCCCCCTGCAAGTAGCAGGCAGTATGGACAGAGTGGCTTAAAGAGACCACCGTGGCACAACGGGAAGGAACACTTGCTTGTTCCCAGTCGTATTTTAGCCAACTCAATCACATTTTAATAACTAAACACGAGATTTTGGCAAAATGCACAACCCCCTGATGAGGGCGTCCTTCTGGCAGTCCACAGCAAGGTACCTGCCTCCCCCAACTGGGGGCCATCCAGCCACACATGTCACCCCCCCTGCATGAGCAGACAGCCATGGGAGCAGCCCTGGGTGGCACCCAGGCCCAACTAGCTTTAAGCTCACCTCTAAGCCCAGGGCCCTTCACTGTGGGCCAGTGTGTAAGACAAGCAGTGAGGGAACAGTGGAAGGACGTGGTGACACCTAGCAGGGCAGGAGTCAGGGCTCAGGAGAGCCATGGAGATAGGGATAAGACAGGGGCACAGGAGAAAGCCTCGCACAACCTTGGGTCACATGGGATGAGATGTGGGGGTGTCCCACCTGACAGGGGAGCCAGCACCCCTCCAGGGGTTCCCACCAGTCTTACTCTTGACCCGGGTCTTCCCTCCACTTCCGAACACTGCTGCCCCACAGAGCTTATGTAGTCAGCCACTCCCAGAGCTGCAGACATGGACATCAGTCCTGGGAGACCCAACAGTCATGACAAACATACAGACAACATGCACTGCTGACCTCAGGAGAGCCACAGGTACCTGAAGTGGCTACACATGACAAGGCAATTTGGCAAAAAAAAGAAAAAAAAAAAAGTTCAAAAACAATCACCAAAGTCCTCCTAGGGAACACGATTACAATTTATTAGCACATTCTGTGGCATCAACATTTTCAAAAGCATCAGTAGAAGTATTAAATATAAAATCAGTATGTGTATTTCCCTCCTCACCCTCAGAAAACAGAACAAAAAATACAAACCCAAAACCCCAAACCAGCAAAGGCATGATCTGAAGTGTGATTCTGTACAGGCCCGCAGGGCAGGCGGGCCGCCTACTGCCACATCTGCACATAGTTGGCCGGGAAGAGCCCGTACAGGCGCTTGCACACGCTGCGCTGCCAGCCTTCCTCATGCATCATTTCTATGTTGCTGATGATGTCATCAGGGTCAAAGGAGATTTCGTCACCATGCGCTGGGAAAAAAGCAAAGAGAGAGACACAAATGGAAAACATTTCCAGGGGGGCTGGGAGGAGCATGCAGCAAGAAGAAGGAGGCAGCCACAGCCCGTGTAAGGCTGGGATGCACAAATGTGAGCGGCGTCTTCCAAAAACATCCACCCTGGCCAGACACTGTTTTTGAGAAATGGCCAGGATGGGTGGGAACTCGCCTTCCTTCCCACCTTCACTGGGGGAGTGAGGAAAGGGTGCCACCACTGACAGGGCACAGGGGGACGAGGACATGTAGGAGGGGTGGTCAGGGTGGGTGGTTCTGAACACAGGAAGGGGTCTAGAAAGAAGCCCAGGTGACGGGCTGGAACACAGGTCACGGGATGAACTCAAACATATGTACAGATGCCAAAATATCAGAGAACCCATTGAAGAATAAATAGAAACATGTGTGCTGCTGGGCATGGTGGTGCACATTTGTAATCCTAGCAGTCGGGAGGCTTACACAGGAGGATCACATGGCACAAGTTCAAGGGCTACATAGTGAGTTTAAAGCCAGCATCAACTCTATTTCAGGTGATAAAAAGGTTTTATCACTTGAATAGAGACCCTGCCTCAAAAGAAAAAAAAGCAAGAGAAATGTATAGATAGGGGAATAAATAATAGCAGGTGCAGAAAGGCCACGCTCTGCCTTTGACCGCCCCCACTCAGCGGGGAGGAGGAACTGGGAAGCTACTGTCAGGGAAGGCCAAGTGAGGCTGAGAGAAGACAGGACCTGGGGGGCTCACCATAGCGCCTCTCAGTCATCAACTGCTACTGGAGTGGTGTGGATTGGCAGGTGATAGTGACCAATGCCACAGAAATAACATACAGGGTAGGGCAGGGATTTATCTCAGTGGTGTAAACACCTGCTTGGCAAGTACAAGGTCAGGAGTTCAATCCTGGGTACCACAAAAAAGACAACTCAGCACAGGGAGGCACCGAATTGTATCTGTGGCCTTCCTACCATGCGAGCACCAACTCTGCTGGGCCCTGGCCAACTGTGGAAGGACACGGCCCAGGAACAGGGCCAAACAGGACCAACGCCGAGGGGTGTGTCATGTGCACAAGTGACCTCCCAGAGGGTGGAGAGTGCTGGAAGTACTCATATGAGACCCTGGATGTCCTAGACATGCACAGTGCAGTTTTCGAGTTTTGTTTTCTGTATTTTTGTAATACTAGGGAGGGAATGGGGGCCACCTGCAGGCGTTTCACAGAGCTACATCCCCAACACATCTATTTCTTTGGAGACAGGGTTTTGCTAATTCACCCAGACAGGGTTCAAATTTGCATTCCCCTGTTTTGGTCTCCCAAATAGCCAGGATTGCAGGTACGTGCCATCACATCAAATGGGGTTTTTAGGGGCAATGGGGACCTTGCAGGTCCCCGATGGATCTGAGAATAAATGTAATTGAAGTGGTTAAGTGCATGAGTTTGTACATGCACACATGCAGAAAATTAGGACCTGGTTGAGACATGAGAGTCCTTGTCACTGTACTGGGAGTTTTTCTGTAACTGAAACTATTTCAAAATAGAAACTGCAGCATCACTGGAAAAGTCAGATTCTTAGGGGCTGAGTTGGCAGGAACAAAGGGCAGGAAGTTGCTCAGGCGCCTCACCAGCCTGGTAGTCCTAAAGTGCGATGGCTGTGATGCCCAGGTCGTTCTCATACTCGTCATAGGTGTTCTCTTCTGAAAGGAAATGGGGACAGTTGAGCAGCAGCTGGTACCCACCTGTACCTCCCCACTGTAACTGCTTTTCACACAATGATTCCCAAGATTTGGGGCAGGAGCACTTGCTAGGAAAAAATCTCAGTGAGTGAGCTCCACTCTGAGGGCAGCAGGAGAGAGGAAAGGAGGCACCTCCTGGAAACTCAAGAGAAGACTCCAGCTTTCAAGAGCAAGTCCATGGACTCCCAGCTCTGCCATCACCCAGGGAACATGGCTCTCATGACCATTTTGAGAGTATAACTTTTAAAATGCAAAATATCTAGCATCATCAGGGAAGTGAATAAGAGAAGGGACAGGGCAATCAATGCCTGTGACGCTGTCAAGGTAAGAGGCCTCCCCCCCGTCACGTGTGTTCTCAGCCCAAGTGGCTCCTGCCCTCCATACCGACCACATTACCACATTGCTCCATGTGGGATAAGGGGTCTGTGCTGGACCTGGCGTACTACAGGAAACCTCAGTATTAAAGGACAATAAGCAAAACTGCAGTGTTCACCTAGATCAGGGGCAGAAAACCTTTTGGAGACCAACTAACTACTCAAACTGTAACACAAAACCCACTTATGTATCACAAAGTGATAATGCTGTAATTAAACCTGAATACCGAGGTTTTAGTTTACAAAAATAACCTAATTCAATGCTGGGTTTCTGGCGGGACTTGGATTGTGAGCCAACAGAGAGGGCTCTGCGCATACCCACTGCAGCAGGCATGCTATAGGTTCACCACACTGACCTAAGTGAAACACCTGCACCATCTTCAAGCCGCAGAAAGTGTCACCTTTAAGGTTGTCCTGCAGCAGACAGGTGCTTGATGTCCAGAGGAAATGCCACAGTAACAGAAGCCCGTTTCCTGACTCCAGACCTATCCCCAGGTTCCCTGTATCCCAGAATACCAGGGACCTTCCCAGGACCACTGCTGCCACTGGAGACCACTGTGCCTAGGGCCATTCTAACAGGGAAACAAAGAGTTCGGGGGGGGGGGTGTGAGCAGACAGGAACCCTGAACACATTCTTCATGGGGAATAATGCTGGGTGGGATCTCTCAGAGAGCCCCATTCCCAGGAAGGGCATGGGAGCGTGGGCACAGTATCTGCTTGATAGTGGCCAGAGGGTTTGGTGGTGTCCTAGATGGCTTCCGGATCATAGCCCAGGCTCTGCTAACTGCTGGCCTGTGGGAAGGTAGTTTGTGGCCTCTGCACTGTACACATGCTAGGGCTCACTTTCACTTGCAGGACCTCTGCGTTCAAGGAGGCTGCATCCTGAAAAGGAACAAATGGACATATCCTGTGGCCTGGCTGGCACCTACAAAGTTTACAGCTACACTGTCAATGCCATCTAAGACATGGGGACTTATTTCCTAGCTTCGGCTGGGATTGAGGAAAAGGACACTAGTCAGGAAGGCATCAGTTCAAAGTCCTGACTGACCTCTCATCCAGGGAGCCCCAGTCCTTATTACCCCCAACACTCCCAAATCCTGAAGGGACTGAAGTCCACTCTCCTCACCAGGAACCATACACTCCCCAAACTGCATCCCCAGGGCTCGAGTCATTCCATCCTGAGTTCAAATTAGCCTGTTTGTATTTTGGGCCTCAGGTTTCTGTCCTGTCCAGTGCTGCCTATCAGCACCAGCCAGCAGCTTCTTGTCTTCTAACCAAATCCTCCGCACAGAGTGAGGCAAGGGAACCACCAAAAGAACCATGTTCAAAGACAAAGGTACTCAGAGAAAATACACACCTTATAATTTAAAACTGCGTGACTAAAAAATTTTTTAAATAAAAAAAAACCATATGACTTCTGAGTTCTAACAGGCATCCTGAAGCACACATTAACATTGGCTCCAATGTTTCTGACCAGGTGCCCTCTGTGGGTCACAAAAAACAAGGCAAGTGGTCAGGAATGGCACTTGCAGGATGCTGCTGGGAGGCCTGGCTTTCTCTGGATTTGGGAGTAAGACCAGGAATACCCAGGCCCGGCCCTGTGCATCTCCATAGCTTTCACGGGTCTGTAACCTCCCTGTGTCTTGAGTCCTCAGCAGTTGCAATTCACTGACACAAAGTGTTATTTAGATAAAAGAGTAAATGTGCAGCCCAGAGTGGCTATGGGGGAAACAGGAAACAGGACAAGGGCCACAGTGGAGGGGGAGCCAGGAGCTGTCAGGCAGGTTAGCATCTGAGGGACAAAGCAAGATCGCAGGTCTGTGAGAGGCACCAATGTGGCACAGAAGGGAGGTGTCTGGGAACACACCATCAGAGCCACAGGAGTGACACTGGTGGTGGCGCCTCAGTGCCAAAGGAGGTTGGTTCCCATAAAGAAGTGCAGCCAGCTCAACACACACAGGCTTGTGAAAGAAGACCAACAAAACCAATGTGACTGAGCATTTGGCATCCAGCGACTTACCCAGGGCTGTAGGGAGACAGTGACCCACTCCTCAGCTGGCAGTCTGATTGCAGGGAGGTGCAGAAAGGTAAAGAAGGGCAACGGGGAGGATGCCTCACTCCAAGGATGCCATCCCTGAACCCTGCCACACCACAAGCCCAGTGTGAGCACAGAGCACAGCACGTCAAACATCCACACGGGCACTGCAAAAGGTTCAAGACTCCTTCACGAACCAAACAAAAACACCCACCTCATAGATGGGGCTGGAAGGCTGCCTCTCCTCAGCTGAATGAGGAGTGGGGGACTCAGGGGGTGTTTCCTTTTTGGCTCTGGCTTGCTCCTGCAATAGAAAAATAGCAACCAGAAGGTCATGACCGTCTGGATGACACCAGCAACTCAGAAAAGGAAGGTACCTTAGCCTGAAGAATGGGCCTGATGCAACAGCAGACAGTGTCACATATCCTAGAGAAGGAGCTGCTGCAGCAAAGGAAAGTCATGCAGTCAGCAGACCACCTTGAGAGGAAAGACCTCGGCGGCCTGCAGCACTTCGCGGTGCCACGCCTGGAAGATGCACTTCACTGGGCACTAGGCACAATTGCAGTGCTGGCGCTGGCCTATAGTTCGCTGTGGAGTCCTCACTCACTGAGGGGATATAGATGATGAGTTGATGCTGTAGTGGACTAAGGTTCTCAGGGACCATGACGTGAGGGGACTATATTATGAGTGGGAGGAAAGTGTGACTCTTTGGCCGTCATGGATACAATGCAGTAGACAAATAATGCCCCCTGCTCTGATTCCATGGTCGGCCCAATGTCATCACGAGGTCCTCATAAGACAAGGAGGAGTGTGACAGGCAGTCAAGACATGTGAGGATGGAAGCAGAGTCTGGAGTCACACGAGCCAAGAAACGCAAGGGCCTCTAAAAGCTAGAAAAAGGACAGACACACAAGCCTGCAAAGGAATGCAGCCCTTCTGACACCTCTGGGGATTCCTGAGTGCCACAAGTGAAGAATGTGTTGTTTCAAGCTCAGTGAGGGTGACCTGAAATGGCAGCCACAGGAAACACACTGATGGCCTGCATGCTCCAGGGAGGACTGGGGAGGACACACAGCCAGGGAACCGTAGAGGCATAATCTGAACCCCAGGTGCCCATGGCACACCTCCCCCATGGGACAACGAAACACTGTCTCATTTTGTTGGAAAGCAAAGCAGGCCTGGTCCTTGACAGGTCTCTGCATCGCTGTGGACTAGCCTGACCTGCAAGCATTTGTCACCTGGAATCCTACACAGGTTCAAAACCCAAGGCCTGAGTCCCGGGCAGCCGTGAAGGGCAGGACTGGGCCCACCAGCCTCAGCACCCAGGCCCCTGGCTGCAGGGTAACTGGATCACTTCACAAACACAGCTGCAGGCCGAAGGGCCTACCTCCAGCCCTTCCCAAACCCAGCTGGGTGAGAAGCCTCCTCAACAGCAGCCACCAGACAGTGTGGATTGACACATAGGCTTCTCCTGCCAGGACGCACTGTGCCAACCTGTCTGGGGTGCTCCTAAGTAACGGAGGGGGTCCACCTGAGACTCAGCACACTCCTGGGGAGGAGGGGGGCCTGTAAACAGAAAAGGACTCAGCAAGCAACCTGCAAAGAAAGGGGCTAAACAATAACTACCCTACTCGAATCTCTCCTCTCAAGCAAGCAGGTCAAACTGTTGTGTCCCAGATGACAGAGATTAAAATCCAGTCATGAAATAAGGAAGGCCCCAATTACGTGAAAAAAAGACGAGACAGCAAGTAAAGAGTGCCTGTGTGTATTCGGGTGTTCTGTGACAAAGAACAACAAACAAACACCTTACTTTATAGAAACTATGAAGGAGAGGTCATTAGGTGTTTCTAGTCACTAAGAACAGGAAAACAGTGTTGTCACGAACCTCTGCTTCCCATCACGTGCCTGCCTGTACTAAGGCAAATCGGGTCTTGTTCATTAATGCCTCCGTTCCCAGCACCCCTGCCTCTGCACACCGACCTCCTCCCGCTGGGGATTCTTGGAACCCAAGCACTGCTGTAAGGAAAAAACATCCAGAACCTCACTTGGCCCAGCAGCTTCGTGTACATTATTTCAGCCTCGACTGCTCAACTACCCAAGAGAACCAGCCAGGCTGTCAGCCGTGGGTCCTGATGAGCAGGTGGCAGAGCAGAGCCAAAGCCCGCCAAAAAATCCTGGAAAGAGAGTCCTTGCACTCTGTCCAACCTCCACGGCCTCTGTAACCTCTTCTTCTAGTCAAAGTGTGCAGACCACAGGGAAAAGTGGCAGACCAACCCGAGGTCAGGGCAGGCCACCTTGGCAGATGGGTTTGGCCGACCCCTGCCAGCCTGTGTGGCTGACTCTTTGAGTGGAAAACACTTTCTACTGAGAACTTCTGGGAATGCGGAGCAAAGTGGCAGCCACCGCAAGCACGAGCACCCCCTTGGCCACGCATGCTCACGCGCTGGGCCAGCTTCTCTGTCTCCACCTCCAGCTTCCTTCGAGCCTCCTCCTGCTCCTGCCTTTCCTTGGCCATCCACTGTGCTCTCTCCGCTTCCACCTGTCCTCCTGCCTTCTCTCTTTAGTGAGATTTTCAAACTTTGCCCTCATGTTGCTGGCTTTGCTGGCTCGCTGTAGAGGAAGGAAAGAGGGCGTCTGCCTCACAGCACCTCGGAACACTTCCCTGGGCTGAAAGCCCAAGCAGGGTGCCCTTCTGCAGCAACAGTTGGCCCCACCAAGAGCTCACACTTCTCCCACCTCACTGTGCTCAGCCTGCCAACTGGGCCAGCTCTCTACACTGTATGTAGCAGCACTTGTGTCTGAACCTTGGCTTCCCACGTATTCTTTTCTGAGATGATGGGAAGTGAACTCCAGAGCTCTGAGCTACATCCTCAGTCATTTTTATTTGCTTTGTTGAGACGGTCTCATTAAGTAGCCTAAACTGGCCTCAAACTTTTGATCCTCCTGCTTCAGGCTTCCCGGTAGCTAGGACTACTGGTGTGAACCAGCACAGCCCTGCTGGAATACTTTTACATAACCCATCATCACATTACTTGCCACCACATGCTGAAAAAACAAAGAAGCAGGCATCCTTAAGAAAAGATGCAAGTCTATTGTTGTTAAAGAAGTTTAAAAAAAAGATACTGATTTTCAGCAGATTTTGACCTTTACATATGCATTTTGGGTGTTTCGTGTGGCAGAAATGGGATAGTCATAAAGCACTCCTGTGCATCTCAGAGAACAGCCTCTCTGCACTAGCTAAACGGTTTTCTTATGGAACATGATTTTCCCTAAGATAACAAGTGGCAGACAAACTCTGGTTATGCAGATTTGGGGATCTGGCAGACACTTCCTCCAAAGTAAATGAATCAAATCATTCTGTCAAATGTCAAAACTTATAGCAGTATTTGTTACCCACAGGAAAATTAATGCTTTCAAGCAGAATTAAAGAGTTCTAGAAAATTAGTAGGTGACAGAGTGAGCATTGTCACTTAAAGACTGCACCAAGGAGATGGAGAACAAATGTGATTTTCTTCAATAGTATAATGAAAGGGATCAATCGCAGGACAACAAGGATAATCTGTAGGTCTACTGTTTTTTTAATGGCTGCAGCATGATGTTGTCACTCTGGGGAAGCTTCCCAGGATGCAGAACTAGCCTTTAAGGAAAGATGGCCCACACGCACCAGGCAAAATACAGAACACCATAGTGACCCCAAGGTCACCAAGGGCCCTCCCTTCCCACCTGCTGGTCCACCTGTGTCCAGTTTACCTTAACTGTAGAAGCAATCTGGCCACTGCCACAGACAAAATGTGGGAGCAGATATGAGACCCCAATCCACCATCCTCTAGTAATGGGATTTAGAAAAACATAAAATGATGTCATTCCCCTAAATTTTCTTATTCTGGAACTCACAGTAGTTTTTTTAAAAGCAAACTTAATAAGCAGACTTACCATAGTTTTATTTTTACATGAATTGAAAACTTTCCTCCATTTTAATTTAGAATACATACCAATAAACACATCCAGCTCCATGGAGGCTCTCTGTGGTCCTCAATGACTTTCAAAGTGCCAAGGTGGTCTGGGACCACAGAATCGGGAAGTGATCCAAGGCACCTGCAGCGGAGCTACAGTAACTCTGAGCTCCACTCCCCTCCTTCTTCTCCTCTCCCCGCCCCCTCACCCCACTGAGACTTGAGCCCAGGGCTCTTTCATTGTGTAATGTTTCTTGTGACAGTTCTCACTGAGTTGCCAAGACAGCACTTGAACTTGCAATTCTCCTGCCTCAGGCTCTCAGAGTGCTGGGGTTCTGGGCACACGCCACCTACTGGCAGGTATTTCCTCTGAAGTGAGCAAAAGTGGGCCTCTGCTTCCCAATTTTAAGTGGACCCCCATTCACAGGGACTCTGGTGTAGGCTCTGTTGTGAGAGTTACTTTCCGAAGCAAAGAGGGGTTAACTGTGTCTCCAGGGTCCCTGCAATGTAGGGGGCAGGGTTATGGGGGCAGTCACACATGTCCCTCTGCTCCTGGCTGTTTCTCCAACCTTGCTTTTCCTCCTGGGATTTTCCCTAGACTTTCCTCCAGAGAAGACCAAATAGCGCTTTGGCTGTGTGGGTGACACTCACCAGCTTGAACAGGGACAGTCTTCTAGTAGGCAGACGATACCTGTGCCACACCTTCAAAGGTCGACGCACTCTGCAGAGAAGGAAAAAGAAATCAGAAGTGTGCTCCTCTGCCCCTCCCTACCTGCGGAAATGCTACAGCCTCCCCAGATCCCTCAACAGACCAGGCAGCCTAAGTTCTGCCCCTGTGTTCTGCAGATTCGCGGAGGTACAGCCACACACACTGCTGACCATTAGTCAGTGTCACAGCCATCTGCTCAGGGACAAGCCACCTCTGTGCTGCTCAAGCCTGATCAAGCCTGCCCCCGCCCTGCCTACAAGCCTCTGCTGTGTGGGGACAGGTCCTCAGGACACACAGGCCTGCCTGGCCAGATGTTCCACGTGGCTCTGTAATTGGGATGCCACCACTTTATTTCAACTGGGCTCTCAGCTACACCCCAGGGAAACCGCTGTGACATCAGGCCCTAAACCGCAGGACCTAGCACAGGCTGATGGGGTTCTTAGAAACTAATGACCTTCCCCAGTTCCTTTGAGAGCTGCACCACTGCTGATGGGAGCACAGTGCTCCAGCTCAGGATGCTCACTGCTTCCCCACATGGCACACTAGAGTGCAGCCCAAAGAGGCAGCCCCTCGAGGTAGCAAAACCACACTTCCCTGCGGCACAGGCACAGATGGCTCCAGCTGCCCAAAGGAGACCAGAAAGGAATCTGGCTCACATCCATCCTCCCCTGTGCCTATCCTTTCACAGGGGAGCCAAAAAGCCCACCCCAAAGGACTCCCACCTTGGCCAGAGCAGTCACCTGTCCTCCTAGCCGCCATGCCCAACAGATCTAGCTGTATAGCTCTTAAGGGCCTTTGGCCTAGACTTATCTCTGCTGAGTCTAAGCTTTGGCTACTCAGCTTTCCTGACTAAACCTTTCCCTTTTCCCAAACCTACTGACCTTGGACAGTCTGCCACCTTTTCTAGAACAATCCCTGCCCAGCTGTCCAGGTGACTCCTGCCTGCCCTGTAGCCTCAGGGTAGCAGTGAGATCACTGCCCTGGTTCCTGCCCTCTGCTTTGGGAGGGTGGCTCCAGTCCTCTCATCCCAGTTCCTGCAGTGGAGGCCTCTGGCTTGCTGCTCAGGCAGGGGCATCTCTCTGTCCACATCCACTCCCCATCCATATCACCTCCCACACCATCCCTGTGCTCAGCCTTCCTCACAGTGACTCCGTCACCAAGACCCACCTCTGCTCTGCATGCTGGAAAGGGAAGCCAGTCTATACGTGGGACACAGGCATCCTCCCACTGAGCTACACTCCAGCCTGTGACTGCCTACCGACCACAGCCTCTCGCACTTGCCACCTTCCTACCCATATAAACCTTGCTCCATCCTCCTTGTCCTGTCTGGCCTGGCTCCAAGATTCACAAGAGCAACTACTCTTGCCCTTGATCCCCTCATGCCTATTACAGCCAACCTTGTCCAAGACAGGACAGGCTGGGCATTTCCAAAACAGAAGGTCACTGGCCTCACATTGATCTCCATCACCACAGAGACAACTGCAGACTCGAGTCCTCAGCGACCCATCATATTTTTAGGACGGCCTCATAGCAAAGCCTGGGCCCTGGCCAGTGGCCTCACTTAGAAAGCACCAGGCTCCATGACAGCACAACAGTTCCAAGGGGGAATCATGATGCCTCATGCATAGGGTTACAAGAGGCAATGCCAGCCTCGCATGCTTACTTCCACGGCGTTTACAAGCCCAGCGGTCATTGGTTACCACTGGCATCAACCACAGACAAGAGACAGAAACTTCGTCAACTCCCAACCGCAAAGCCACAACTTCTGACTCTCTCACTCATTAGCTCCTTCCGTCCTCCTAACCCAGGGGCCCCAGCCACCAGATACTTCCTGGAGTTCCCTGCTGCCACCTCGAGGAGCCTCCTTGCCCAGCATCCTCTGACCTGACACTTCCATCAGACAGGCGCAGCCCTAAACTGGACGAACTTCAGGCATCACAAGCACTTACCACACATGCTCATCCAAATTCTCCAGCTCCACAGTCACCCCACTGGCCACTTGGCTCCTCCCTCCTCCTGGGCCCTTGAAGACAAACCCCAGCCCAGCCACTTGCCACCTTTACATCTATAACATCAGATGCATCTCCCATTGCAATTCCAGCCTAAGACAATACCTTGTTCAGGCCTCTGGGGCCACCTCTTCACAGCAACCTTAGACCATCTCCCACGATGCAGACAGGGGCTACTCAGGGCAGATGCCACTCTTGTCCTCTGCCTGCTAAGCCCATCCAGGGCTCCAGAGTCCCTTGAACAACTTGAGGACCTCACATGGTTTGTGCGGCTCCCTTCTCCAGCCCTGCAGTGATCCCTCAATCCCCCACACTGAAATATATGCTGTGCCCTCTGCTCTGCACTCTCTTAGCCCTGACTTTCCTAACAAACTCTTCCCAGCTCTTCAGAACTGGGCTGTGACTAGTCCTTTCTCCAGACCCCTCGGCCTGTGCGGTGTGCCCCAGGGTTCTCCCATGGACCCTGGTGACATGGGGAAGTGCCCGAGGAGAGGCTGTGAGGTCAGCCACAAGCTGTATAGGAACAGAGCTCTAAGGCTCCACCATGCCACCCACCACTACAGCCAAGGGCAGGATGACCCTACAAATGGTCTCACATTAACTCAATTCCCAGTCTGATTTACCATTCATAATCAAAGTTCAAACAGCAGTATGATCCAGTGACAGCTCCCTCACTGCCATGCTATGGCCAAGCACTCAAGACTGGCTAGTTCAGACCTCGACTGGGAGCCAGTCCACTGCTGCCGTAGTGACATATGCCAGCTGAGTGGGTAGATGGCCAGAACCACGAGCACAGTGCCTACCTGATGGTAGCTACAAACAGCAACTGACACAGAGTGGGGGCTGCAGGAATCCCTGGGCCTGCGGGCAGAAAGTTCCACATCTGGAGCTGGACAGCCTTACTTTATCCATCTGATCTTTCTGCACCCTCTCCTTGACACTGAATCCTTTGGAATAGTCTGGAGGTGACAAAATACAAGATTTACTCTGAGGCAGAGGACAGGCCCGGTCCGAGATGATCGCAGGTGCATGCAGATAGGGCTCAAACAGCCCAAGAAAATGCACCCTGGCAGAAAGAACCAAGAACCGCCACAACACAGGCTTTCCGGAACAGGCAAGTTGCGTCTGACCACAATGTCTAGTGCACAGGCAGGGAGCAGGATAGGCGTGGGCATGCTTCTGGCATTCTCCTGGGGAAAGGGCGGAGACAGGCAGCAGGCTGGCAAGAAATAAGCCAAGAAAGGGGCATAGGAGGCCTTTGCGATGGGACACTTCACTAGCACAGTTTTCCACACCAACCACAGGGCTTACGCTCATCTGTTTCCTACGCAACCACTCTACCCAGCACTAAATACAGGCTCAGTCGCAGTTTGTTTTCTTGCTTTTTAAAAGAAAGAAAATACTCCATGTGGACATTCTACCAGCCAAATATGTCTGCTGCAGCAACACACATCCACATGAAAGTCACACTGTCATGCAGTCTCAATGCCGCTGAGACTCGAAGGCTCTCTCCATGCAGTCTGCAGGGTCAGGCCCAGTGCGTTCACCACCCTACACCCAAGCACTGCGCAGGTCCTATTACTGCGCTCAAAGCCCGCACTCTGCCCTTCACTGCTGGATATCATCGTTCAGCCGGTGATGGGTCCAGGTTCTCGTAACCAAGGCCTCTGTTGGAGAACTTTGATGGGAAGTGTGACTGCTCTAAGGAATATGCGTCAACTATCTGGAATTCCAGTGTGTGGCCCCAGAAAGGTTACTTTCCAGCTGTGTGTACACACTGTGTGGCTACATGTGAAGATCCTACACGTGGGTGGTGTTACAAGCAAAAAAATCAGAACAAACAAAACTACCCACCCCTGTCTGAAAAGCACCACTGCTACAATGAAACACAGAAATGACACAGAACACGCATTTCTCAGCCCTCACTGCTACGAACCCTCTGATGGAAGGGTCAGAGGTGCTGGAACTAAAACCTCTCTTTCCTAACCTCAGAGGCAACAAGGCCTGGCATGATGACCCAAGAAGTCGTGGTCAAAAGCAAGCAAACACGCAGAAGGTTGTTAGAAGACCACCCCAGAAACCTGCGAACTATAATTTCTACCCCAACTTTCCTCTGAAAGGTCAAAAGGGGGAAAAAAGAGAATGGGATAAACGGGAACTTAGTTTCAATGGGTTGAGGATGCCCAATGGTCTGACAGCTGGTGAGCAGGAGAGCCTGCTAGAGCACCGAGGTGAACCCTGAAGCCTGTGCTGGAAGTGGCTGTACCGCAAGGGAGTGTGGGAAGAGGCAGGAGGTGGGGACTGTGCCTTGGTGGGATTCGTGCATGGCCAGTCTTTCCTTATATTCAGGAGTCCCATAGTGGAGGAGTCCTGCCGCTCGGACTGAACACCAAATTTGCTTCCGAAACCAGTCTGATAATCTGGAAATCCACATGTGATAAAAAGGGCTTCCTTTACCTATGCTCACCCAGTAAAGGACCACTCCTCTTGTGCCCAGAGTGTTTCTATATTATGATAAACAATTCCTTTGTATCTGGTCCAGGCTAGCCTACCTGTCACAATACAACTCAGGGCATGTAGCCAAGTATGTAACATTTTGTTACTTGCTTTGTATTGCCCACTTTTAAATTGTATACTATGCTCTCTGTAAACTCAGGAGTTGCTTTTGTGGAATTATCCTGCACCAGTCCCCTGGTATCAAGATCCAACAGTCTGCCAGCGTGAAGATGAAATGCTGCCTTCTTAAACAATCAATGAATGAATGCATGAATAAATGGGAAGGGAGTACAGCTCTGTAGTTGAGTGCTTGCCTAGAGTGTGCAAGGCTGTGGGTTCAATCTGGAGTACTGCTGGTTAAAACACACACACACACACACACACACACACACACACACAAAAAAAAAAAAAAACAAAACAAAACCACTTTCACAGTCTGGCAGGCACCACAGTCAAGCACATCCAGGGCAACGTGGCTTCCTCCCCAGAAGGCTGCTGCACATCAGGCTCAGCTAATGTATTGTAGCCACATACTCCCCATCTCGAACAATTCTCTATGCCACACAGGAACGCATTCTTCAAATAAGCTATCCTAAGAACAAAATGAATACTAATAACAACAGCAGCAGCAGGAGCCAGGCACCATGGTGGGCATATGGGCACACTATCTGCTCTGCTTCCCACCCAGCCCCATGAGTGAGGGATTACCATGACTCCCATTTCACTTGGAATAGAAATTCCAAGACAGCTAGGATGTCAAAAAGTCGGAACACAGACTGAGGCCTGTCCACATCCAGGCCTCTGCCTGCCATGAAACAAAATGAAGGAAGGGGCTAATGGCCCTGATCCAAAGGGAATCAGAACAGGCTCAAGCTTGAGCCTGCCAGAACATCTGGACCCAGCCTGCAGCCCTGAAAAGGAGGGCTCCACAGGAAGAACTCTGAGCAGCACTTGCCACAGTGATATATAGGAAGGGAAATGGGTGGGAGTGGTCCCCATTGGCACATTCTTAGGCAATAAATTTAAGGGTGTCCTATGCCCAGGGCACTTAAAGAAGGACCCCAGTCCATCTGGTAAGTAGACAGCAACACAGGGATCTCTAAGCCCATGTGAGAAAGGCCTTTCTTTACATGCTACTACCCCCCTTTCTCACCCAGCTGGCTCAGCCTCTCAGAGCACCCCAGGGGAAGAGGCCTCGGCTCTTCTCTAGACATCCCTCCCAGCACACTGCTACGAGTGACCCAAAGGACACACATAGCACCAGCACCATCTGGGGTGGAAGGCACTGTGCTCAGCAGAACTCGGGGTCACTTCTTGTGCCCATCACTCACCTGGTCAACTCTGTCCATCTGGACACCAAACTTGCCTCCAAAACCCCGGACCGAATCGACTTGAGAGCAGTGCTTAGCAAGTTTCAACTGATATTCATGGCCAACAGCTGACTAGAAGAGAGTCCAAAAATAAAATATCACAGACTCACGCCTAGCACAACATTAACAACCCAGGTGCAGGCATTTCCTCCATGCACCCATGGCCAGAATCCCGGGAGAAACTGCAGCCTGAGCCATTGAGTCTCTGGTGCAGGGTTTCTCCAATGCAGCTGCAGGGCTCTCACACCACAACGCCTGACCTAGAGTGGAGCTTTGGATGCAACAGGGCATGGAAAAAAGAGATAATGGCAGCTGACCACACAATTCCTAAGAGCCATTTACATGGACATTGCTGGCAATACATTTACTCTCTTGAAAAAAGGCTTTTTCATACTGTAAGAACTACAAATCAGGACAAAAAATATTTATTTTGTCAATACACTAAAGCATAGAAAGGTCTATTTTAGTAATAACACAGACTCAGAATCAACACCGATGTATGCATACAGTGTAGACAGGGTACCAGCTGCTGTCACCCAAACTGGCTCATTCCAGAGTCGCAATCACCAACACTGTCAGCCCCCATCATACAGGGAGCACAGGTTCAGGAATCTTCTGTATGTTACATGTCTACCAGGTAGTAAAGTAAGGAAGCAGAGTCTGGGGTTTTGGCATGCTTCACCTCGAGGTCTGCAAACCCCAGCCTCAAGAGCAGCCCTCTCCAGCAATGACATTCTTCGGAACCCAGCTGTGTCTCTTCACCAGCACAGTGTCTCTGGTTGTGTCTATGATTCTTCTACCCAGTGCAGCCACCTTGATAGATCGTGTGACCACAATGCTGCCTTGGGCCCAACGGTTCCCGATGTTGAGCACAGTTAAGACCCAGGCTTCCAGAGCTAATCCCACAGTACATAGTCCCCCAGGACCCCTCCATGGGTGCTAAGGACAGGCAACACAGTGACAGGTGTGGGAAGGACACACACACATCCAAACACATATGCCCATGCCCCATTGGTACACATCCTGACCTTAACCACCTATGCCAGTTTACCTGGTAGATGCTGGGTCTGGCCACTTGGGCAGTGTTCAGCACATCAGTGAGGCTCGGCAAGTGGCCACTCTTGTTATTTTTCTTGTTGCTGAGATAAAATACCTGACACCCAAAGTTAAAGGAAGAAAGCTCACACATTGTAGAGGTTTCAGTCCATAGCTGGTTCCGAGACAGGGTTGTACATGGCACAGGGGCAAAAGTTCAGAGCAGCAGAAGATAGCAAAAGCAAGCAAGCAGCCTTAATAGCATCTTTCTGACCATTTTACACTCTAGGCTGCTAGGATTAGGGTGCTGTCAAACCAACCAGTATCACACAGCCTTAAACCCAGCATCACACACTCTAGATACAGTCACTTCCAAAACAAACCCTGTGATTGCATGAGGCTCTGGGGGGACATCTCGACATAAACCGTAACATACCCCATGCATGACCTCTAGGATCTCAACCAGAAAATGTCAGTGAGGGAGTGGCGAGAGGCCACTGTGACAAAGGGATTCTTCAGCATAACTTCATGTAACTCAGAAAGTTACATGAAAATGACTCTAAAAAGACAGTCACGATCACCATGTTTGGCAACAGCTACAGCTTTCTGACTGAAACAGACATGCTCCTAAAGCATCTTTAATCTTCTACTGGCACAATCACACTTGCTATTACACAGTTGTGCAAGTGGAGCTCCACCCTGAAGGCTGAGGTATAAGAAGCAGCAGAGACCACAGAAACAGGAAGCCAGAAGAAGTTGGCCATGTGCTCAGACAATGGCACAACTAGAGCCCCAACAGCTCCTGTGCTTCCTCAAAATATGATTCTGGCAGTGCCTGTCACTAGTTCCTCAATTCTTTGCACAAGGAAGGACCTCACTACTATTTATGCAGGTTCTAGACAGGGCAAGTTACAAAGAGTTTAAGCACTTATTCCCAGGTTAACTGTCAGTTCTTTCTGAAAATAGGCTGGTCTCATGGTGCTCACATGAGATGAAAGCTGAATATTCTTAGACATGTAGGCCCAGAGAACAGTAGCACTAAGAAGCAGCAGAGGCAACAACCATCTCCAGGTCCACTGTTGCGGGATTATTATCAGCCCCTCTGAGAAGTGAGTGATTCTTTGAGCCAGTAAGGACCTGCATGTATGTGTGTCAGCCACAAAGCATGATTCTGCACACTCACCACATGTCCCTGAGCACCCTGCACAACACCAAGCCACCCACAGATGAGAATGATGAGTGTTGGCCCTGAAAAGCCAGGCCAGAGAAGAGTCTCACTGCAAACCACAGCACAACGTGGCAGCAACAACTGAAGGGGAAGCCAAGGCCAGCATGAAGGAGAAGCGGGGTCTCAGGGTGGGAAAGTTAGGCGGAAGGAAGAGATGGGCTCTTTAGGAAAGTTTCTCGGCTAGAAAAAGCCCAAGTTGGAGGCTCAAGGATAAGCAGGATCCAGGCCAACAAAAGACACAGCCCAAGAAACAGCAGAGAAATCATTTTAAATCAGACTTGTGCTGTATAAACCGGGATCATTTTCCTTAACCCTAACTTGGGGCCCGATATAGTCAGCCTCTTTTTGCACTAACACCACATGACCTCCAGTGAGCACAAGCCTAGCCACCTACTTGATGGAAGGTTCTGTCTGCCACTTTGCTCTGCTGCTCTGAAAGGCTACCAGACTCGTATCCAGAGCCCCAGGGAGATTCTTTTGCACACACTATCTATTTCACCATTAGGATATCTCTGTGGGACAAGCACAAGTGACACAGCAAATGTCCATGTCTCTTTCCTGCAGATGGCACCTAGTCAGCCTCCAGCTTCAGATGTTTAATTCGATTCATGCAACAGGAGGAGAGGTATGGAATTACCCACCAGAATCTAATGCCAGCTGATCCTTTTACCTCTGTCCACAGTGCGGGCAACACATCAGTCCGGTCTGAACAACACCAAGTTGCTCAGACCTGAAAATTCACTGCTGCAAGGGTGTCTGCAGAAGTCTGCCCTGCTTTACGACAGACGTGCTGCTATCTGCACTGTTTATTCTCCAGGGAGAAACCAGCTAGCTGTCTCGAGCCAACACTCGCCTGCTCTTAGGTGGAACAATGTGCAGTGCCATAAAGGTGGCTGTGCTCATCAGCAGCTGCCATGAGCATCTGCTCGGTGTTGGCAGCCTGGTCCCATCACTGACTGCTCACAGAAGCCACCTGGTTGGTGCTGATGCTACATGCAGAGGTCAGTAAAGCCACATGGGACGTCAGCTACATGCTAGCACAATTTCCAGGAATGATGTGATGAGGGGCCCACAGGTATGGTTACTCTACGGAATGGTACAACTTGGGCCATAAGCTGGAAACACAGGTAGTGCTGACTAGGACATCTGCAGCTCAGTTGTTTCTGGACTTGTCCCATTTACAAAGTCCAGCTAATCTCCCCTTAGGGTCTCTCTACCATTCGCCAGCACCTCTGGGAACTTCCAAAAGCCAGAGAGTTTAGTGAGTGGGGTCAGTTGACAGAGACCCACTGTGAACAGATCTCACCCCTGACAAACCAACTTGACACATTTAAGCTAAGGAAAAACGTAAGGACTACATGGCCCACCACAAGCAGCCCACACAACCAGGGACCCAGCACAGACAGCTGTCGCCCACTTACTTTGTCCATGCTGTACTGTTCTACGCAGAATTTCCCTCCATAGCCATGGGAGGCTTTTGGTCCCGTTTGAAGTTCCTTCTCCTTGAGAGTGTGATGTTCTTGAAAGACGTTTTCTCTTATCTTGTATATGCTTGAGAAGAAAGGTAAGAGCAGAAAGAAAAAAACTCTGAAATGGATGTGCATCCTTGTTTTGCAATGGGATAAATAAAGACAGGCAACATCACCTCTGCAAACTTGAAAGCTTTCTTTTTTTGGTGCTGATCAACTGCCTACCTTCTATGTATGTTCCTGACTATCCTGAAGCTGGGGCACCCACTTCAGCGGTTCTTGCGCAGAAATGGATGGAAGGAGGAACGCTGTACCAAATGCACACCATGGTCTCATCCAACTCCGCCCCAAAGATACCCAGCTAAAACTTGAACTCCATTTCATTTGGAGAAAGGCCGCTAACTTCAGTAGACAAATGGGTTAGGAACACAAGTCCTACAAACACCATCAGGAGGCAGAAGGGGGGATAAAGTCAAGGTCCCTTCCTCCAGATCTCCAAGGCCACCAAGGATACCTATGACAGTCTGTCTTTATTTGAGGTACACTCAAGCATTGTATACCTGTCCAGACAGACATTCAGAATTTATCACCTAAGAGCCACTTTTTATTTTAAATACAGAAAGGCAGGAGGCACATCACAAGATTTAGTCAAAATCTGGCAAGCCAGGAAAGAGCTGTCACTATGAGAACCCAGAACAGCACAACAGCTACCTGGGCATGGAGCCCTTCTGCCCAGAAGACACAACGCCCACACCATCAACACAAAGACAATCATCACAAGAATGTGGCTAAAATACATACCAGGCCTAGAAACTACCTGACCCTCCACGAGCAAGAGAAGAAGAGCCCCTGCAGAACTCTGGGAAGAGCCGCAGGGTGCCAAAAACGATCCCATCCCCACATTTTCCTTATGGAACCTTAACTCATCCAGATGCTGCCATCCCAGACAGTCCATATTCCCTGCCCAACAGGCTGAGGCCACCAAGAACAGAAGAGGTCCAGATGACCTAACCAACTTGGGGCAGGTGTTCCTACCAGGACCATTTCATCCCCTCTCCTAGCTTTCTGACTTCTCAACTCAGTTCTGTGGGAAACGTGGGCTGGGCAAGCCCAGGAGGGACCAACACTTAAGACTAAATTTGAGTCCAGCCTAAGCAACATGGTAAGAATTTGTTTCATTAAAAAAATACAAAAAATAAAAGGTGATATTCTAAAATGTCACCATGTAGACTCTGTTGTTCCAGGTGATTTACTGTATCCTCCTCTACCAGATACTGTGGCCAAGTAAGACAGGAACTTTCCCCATGTTTCAAAGCAGGTCACCAGGTCAGCAGTGCTGCCTTTACAATACAGGACAGGGACAACCAATCCTGACCAGTGTGGCCTAAAACCAACCTCTGCGCATGATTTTAAAGGCCCTTTTATCATCGCTTCTTGAGAGAAAACAAGCTGCCCAGAGCTGGCATTTCAGATAGTGCCAGATCAGAAATGATGATACAGCTCGCTGTATCCTATTCTAGGCTTTTCTCAAAGCCTGGAATTCAGTTCAAACACCCCAGTGACTAAATCCTGCAAAGCACCATAATTTTCAGACAATAATAAAAGGGAGGAAAAAATAGTAATAATAATAATCAAAGGAAGGAGGGTGTTTAAGATCTAAAGTATCCAATGACATCTCACAGTTGAGAAGCCTCCTATTTAGAGAAAGAACTTAGGCGACCGTGGGCCCTGATGAAAATCACCAGATGCAGAAGCAGGAGTCCCAGAACTGTAAGTGAGGAAACTTGTCTATTGTGGACATTTTAACTTGGTGGCCAATTACACGTGTAAGCACATATACATAAAAGCATGCATTAAATCTAGGTGCCACGACTTATATTCATTCATCTGCTGTATGAACACCAGGTCAATACCATAAGCAAAAGCAACTCTGATGCCTGATTGGCCCCTTCAGCTGTCAGCAGTAGATGTCCCTGCTGGGGCCTGTTCCCATCCTGCGGAAGACCCACTAGTTGAGTGTGCGGAGGGGCCCCCATTCGCGACAGCATTGCAGAGGCTCTTACTTGATGTGTTCCTGGTGCCTGGACCCTTGCAGGGTTTTGGAGCCCCATCTCTGTTCCTTTTTGCTCACATCATTCTGGAAAGAAAAACAACTAGTAAACCCCACACCCATGACTGTGAACACAAACACACAAATGAACAAAACACAGGAAAATCGCTTTCAAAGAAACGCAAATCACAGGCAGGCTGGTGACTCCTACCACAAAGTCAGGGTCGGTCCCCCAGTTGTCAGCTCCTCTGTCGTCCTGGGTGATGGACACAGCATAGGCTGTTGATGCTTTCCACATCTGCAAGAGCAGCACCAAGGTTACAGAGTAAGCACAGCCACCTTCAGGCCCAGGTTACCACGATGCCAGCGCAACACATGGAGGGCAGGAGCCACATGACCAAACGCCCTTCCATCATCACTAAACCTAAATGACAGCTGTAGGGATAAAAACAACTGAGAATTAAGAGCTCAGCTTGTTGTAAATCTTTTAAAAACATCACCCTTTGATTTCAAGTACTTTAATGATTTAAAAAATGTTTCAAATCATTTAGTAGAGGGCTGCCTTGTCCTGTTTTGGGGCAAATGCACAGCATAGAAGATGCAACTCCTCCTATGTTAGGAGGCTTAGAAAGCAGTCACCTTTATCCATAGCACTTTAAGTTGGTTCTGTAAGGTTTGTTGTTATAGAGAACAATGACTGCATCTGCAGTTACCAATAAGATGCTGTTTGTAACTTCAAACCTTCAAGGGCTTTTAAACAATTGTTAAGAATGATGCATTTTCCAGAGAGAATGAAAATAATCATAAAATTTCACTGAGGTTATAAAGTAACTGAGAGATGTACCAATTAAAATAATTTTTAATTTGACCAACCAAAGCTGTGCCCCAGGCTGAACTAAGAATTCCAACCCTCCATCCTCCAGCACTACAACAGCTCTTGCAGCTTGTGTTTCTTGGACAAAAGCCCTTCCCAGCCTGAGAACCTCCTTCCAAGCTTCCATTCTAGGTCTCCTAGGTCTAACGGCCACATCCCGGATGGCAGTGAGAGGGATGATGGTGCACTGCTCTCAAGCTCTACATGGGACTCCTGCCTCCTCCTCTAGGTGAAGACCCATCTGCCACCAGGTGGGCAGGACCTATACAATGCCCCTCAAATGAGAATCACCTTGAACCTCCTCTAGATGCCCAAGCATGACAAGAACTTCCCAGATGTTAAAATCAAAATGGATCAAAGACCTCAATATTAAAACAGAAACACTAAATCTGCTGGAAGAAAGAACAGGTAGAACTCTTGAACACACAAGTGTAGGAAAACACTCTATCAACAAAACCTATTACTCTGCGTGGAGGCACATGCCTGTAATCCTAGCACTGGGGAGGCTGAGGAAGGAGGATCACCACGAGTTAGGGGCCCACCTGGTCTACACAATATGTTTAAGGCCAATGTGAACTACACAGTAAGGCCCTAACTCAAAGAAAATAAATAAATAAATAAAACAAAACAAACAAAAAAACATAATCACATGGAAAATATTATAAAGATTCAACAACTGGGATCTCATCTTACTAAAAAGCTTTTGCACACCAAAAGAAATGATCAACAGAATAATGAGACAACTCACAGAGTGAGGAAAAAAATAGCCAATTGTTTCTTATCAAAGGACTAATAGCTAAGGAGGGGTATAGGGACTGAAGGGAAGCGAGGGGAACATGGAAAAAAATGAATCAAGGTACGCTATGTTCAGGTACAAAGTCCCTATGATGAATGTGATCATCATGTGTATCTAAACTATACCAATAAACTTAATAAAAATAAATAAACATACAGAAGCCACTGTATTGAGCCCCACCAGCCCCCTAAAAAGAATTTCCCGGCTGTGATTTGCCTTTGACAGATTTTAAAGAGCAGATAAACAAGCCTTAGCACTGAGAGGCATGGCCAGACAGTCTGGTCCCAATCATCCATTCACAGATGAAAAGTTACACTGTGTGCATGGCCGCTTCCTGCCCTGAGCAACACACTGTCCTCCATAGGGCAGTTGCCTAGAGGCAGAAATCCAGGAACCACAGGTTTAGTCACTGGAAAGGACAAGAGCCACTGTGGGGCCAGCAAAACTTCCATTCACCCCAAGTCGAAGATGCAATAGTCAGCTGCCTGCCTCTTTCAGTTTCATCAGGGAAAAGAGTTACGCCTATTGGATCATCTTTCTGCAGACCAGCATCACAAGCTAGGAGGGGAGACCTTCCACCTGGCTTTATACCATCAGGCCTAGTGGTTCCTGCCACATGCAGAACACAAGGGAAAGAGATGAAGGACTCCCCTGAGAAAGGCCTCCTACCCCTAGTTCCCGAGCTTTCTGCAATTTCCTTTTCTAAGACAGATGCAACACTAAAACTTTGACTTCAGTTTGTTTGTTTGGTTGGTTGGTTTTTTTGAGACAGGGTCTTGCTATGTAGTCCAGGCTGGCCTTGAACTCACAGTGACCCCCAGCCTCTGTAATGCTGGGATTACAGACATGTGCCACCACAACCAGCTTGGCTTAAGTTTTTAATTGAACTTTTTTTAGTGCTCAGCCTAAAACCCAGGGCCTTGTACTTGCTAAGAAAACACTCGACCACTGAGTTACATTCCTAGCCCCTGACTTTTGTTTTTCAACAATGAAAATTTTTTCAGAAAACTGTTGGTGCTTCTCCCTCCAACTTCCCACTCCTTTTCAGTAAAGTGGTTTTACCCTTAGGACCCTGGGGAAAGAACATTAAAAAGTTCACAATACACAACACTTTCTTCCCAAGTGATGAATGCCTGCTTGCAAAACTCTACTTAAAACACAATAAGCCAATACCGAGTGTCCAGACATTTGGAATGCTTCTGTCTATAAAAAGATTAAGGGTGAAAACAGACATCTGCTGCCAGGCCCTCTGGGCAAATGTATCTTTCCAGAGCTTTGTAGAGTACCTCAGGACTCCTCCCCAGCATAAAAAGGTTTTAGGAAGATCTTCATCTTACTAATTAAAAAGCTCAACACAGGAACTTAATAAAGATTGGGGGGGCGCATAAAAAGAATTTAGATGTTACCCACATGCACCAACTGCCCATGAAGAATGTCATCACTGTGTATTGCAAATGTATACTAATAAAAATTTTAAAAAAATTAAAAGTGACATGTTTCAAAAGACAACTACACAGCATTTCTTAATGGAAACAGAAATGACTGCCTTAGTTGCATTTCCTGTCTGCTATAATCCTGGTACCTTTCCATTCTTTATTCTAATTCACAATGCTGCTAAGAACAATACAGTTCTATTATTGTTAGTTTTTATAAGTGATTTAAGGGAAACATTCTCTGAAGGGATCCGTGATGAGCCTGGGAGGAAAGGCCAGTGTTGTAGGTACTGTCTGTCACATGAGCCACATGAGAGACGTGTGCAGAGATGGAGACCACAGGAAGCAGACTGCACTCCCAGGGACCACGCAGTTCCTGAACAGGGAACAGGACTTCAGCCCACATGCTGGCCAGTCCACCAACACACAACCTAGTCCCCAAGACCACACATCAGCCTCAATGGGCACCACACTGCTCCATGGCACACACTGTGGGGAAAACAAAACGCCCTAGCAGAGTAACCTGAACCAGCGCTTAGATCTCCACCCAGGAAAGAGAGTGTGGTCCTGACTGGCCTTCACTTTCCTACCTAGGTCCTGACCCAGCTATTGCTCTTTCTCTTTCTGCAGTCCCTGTGGATTGCTTAGTACACTCTGGCTACTACATTGTAAGTATAGTCACGGTGCATCTTCAAAAATCTACCCAAAGAGCAAGTTAAAAAAAGAATTAAGATATGTTATGCACGCGTACTAAGTCCCTGTGTTGAATGTCATCAATGCAAATGTGTACTAACAAAAAGAATCTCCCCAAGGGCAGCTAGTGATGGACTGAAACCTACACTCATTTATTATCCTATCAGCATGTTAAGTTTCAAAGCTCAAAAAAACAACTGACTGGAAAATGAACTTCTAATCCAAAGTGAAAGACTCTGGACCCCCACCTCATACCATGCACAAAAGTTAATTTAGGCCTGGGGATGTAGTTCAGTGGTGCAGCCTTTACCCAGCATGTGCAAAGCGCTGGGTACAATCCCCAGCACAAATAAATAAGTAAGTAAATAAATGCATGTCTTAAATCGGTTTAATTTTTTGAGACCATAAATTTGACAACAGTTTCTTAGATGTAACACCAAAATTATAAAGAAAAACAAAACAGACTGGACAAAAGTTAAAACTCTGCTTAAGACATAAGTGAAAAGATGACTGACTCACTGAGAGAAATCTATTTTCAAAGTATATATCTAGAATATATAAAGAATTCTTTTAATTCCATAATTAGAAAAAATACACACCCGCATTTAATAACAGATAAAGGAGCTGGGCACAGTAGCCCACTAGGTCCAGCATTCCAAATGCTCAGGCAGGAGGCTCATGTGAGTTTGGAGTTCAATACTGGCCTGGACAAGACAAAGAGATTCCTATCTTATTAAAAAAAAAAAAAAAAAAAAAGTGGGGCAGGGCCCCAGGGGGAGGTTGGGGATGTAGTTCAGTGGTACAGAATACGCTTAGCTATGTGAGGCCCTGATGGGATGGGTTTAATCCCCAACACTGCATCAAAAAAAAAAAAAAGAAATAGTAATAAGAGAATTAGAACCCTTCTTCAGTCCTGGTGGAAATGGAAAACAGGCAGTTCTTGGAAAGGTTAAACAGCTACCATATGACATAGAGATTCTTCTTCTAAGTATACACTCAAAAGAAATAAATGCACAAGTTCATATAAAGACTTGTACATGAATATTCACAACATCATTATTCATAATAGCCAAGAAGTGGAAACAATCCAAAATCCATCAACAGACAAACAGATGTATAAAATGTGATATAGTTACCAAGTGGAATAGCATTCCTCCACAAAAAGGAATGAAGTTATAATACATGCTACAATGTGAACGAAGCCAGACACAAAAGACCACATACAGTAATATGATTCCATTTATATGAAACATCTAGAGTTGGCAAACCTGCAGAGACAAAAAGTACAATAATGGTTGCCCCAGGCTAGAGGAAGGGGAGACTGGGAAATGATGGCTGGGGTACAGGGTTTCTTTTGAAAAACATAAAGAGAGTTTCTGGCTGTGTTGCACAGGTTGGCCTCTAACTGCTGGGCTCAAGCAATCCTGCATCCTCCTGAGTAGCTGGGACAACAGGAGCAGCCAGTCTAGGATTGCTGAATTAATGACACAGTTCCAAAGTGCATAGCGATAAGGGCCACACAACTCTCAGAATAGAATGAAAACCACTGACTTATACACTCTGAATGGGTGAGGGTATGGCATGCAAATTATATTTCATTAAAACTGTTACAAAAAATTACTGCTCAAAGATAAGACTGTCACCAAACACCATTAATACAAACTTCTCTTGCAAAAAAAAAAAAAAAAAAAAAAAAAAAACCCCCCCCCCCACAGAGTGTGGAGAGACAAAATAATCCTGCCTTGAATAAACAGGGTGAAAAACTCTGCTAGGAAAGAATGCTGTAAGACATGGGGTAAAAGCACCCATTCAGAATCGGCTTTCCCTGAACTTCACTGCAGACAGCTCAGAAAAAAGCCAAAAAGGAGCAAAAAAGCATCTGTTGAAGCCACAGTAGATGTCACAAGGCCCACTCTTACTCAGAGGAAGCCTCTTATAACAGAGCACATACTTTTGGGTTCATGCCTAAGCAGAGAGCAGTGGCTTTGCTTGGCACAGACACCAGTGAAACACAAGCTGATGGGCATTCAGTCTGCTGCTATCAGTTGCCCAGGTCAAGGAACAGTGCGACTCAGGGCACTAAAGGCACTGGTAAGGAAGCACACATTCAACCACATGCCAGAGCACCTACTTACTGCATGGGGTAGGTCAAATGTCTGAATCACCAAGTCTGCTTACTCTAAATGTAAAATGCTTTAAAAACAGGTCCCATTAAAAGTCAGCTTTCAACAGTCACAGTGGCACATGCCTGTAGTCCTGCTACTCAGGGGGGAGGCTGAAGCAGAATTTCAAATTCAAGGCCAGCCTGCACAACTTAGAAGACCCTGTCTCAAAAAAATGTTTTTAAGGCTGGGGAGGTAGTAGAGCACTTGCCTAGCATGCTCAAGGCCCCAGGTTAAAAAACTCCAGCATTAAAGGAAAAAAAAAAAGGATGTCATTATTAGACAGGATAAACTTACAATTACTGGAGACCTGATATGAGCAACAGCTCTGTATCCCCCAGCTCTTTACTCCTGCATACCTCAAAGTCCCTAAAACCTAAGGCTGCTTCCTTGTTTCTTCAATTTCTTCTGACATACTTTCCCCACTCAGAGAGAGAAGGAGCACTGACTCAAGGCCCTGGAGTGGGTGACTCACTGTAGTTCAGAAATGGACTATTCAGCCCACCCTCTCCACAGCCTAGCCTAGCCTGGCAAGGCTAGCTGGACAGAACTGCTATCTGCATCAGCTGTTAGGGTCTCCTGGGTCACACCCCTGACAGAACGCCCAGCCAAGTCAAAACTGAGCATATCCTGCAGGCACCTCAGGTGCATGGCCAAAAACAGAAATTCTGCCTCAAGTGGCCCCAACAGGGCCCCTCCCACCCAAACCCTCCAGCTGGGCGGCTAAGGTCGCTCTGGTGCCAGACCTGTCCCATCCACGGAAACACAGAAGCAAAACACACCCAAGCACCTTTCTGGTGCCTTGGCACACACCCAGGAGGGAGGGCCTGTTCGAGATTTCCAGCTCCCCTGCGCCGCAGCATTTCAAGTGACCCCATTTACAAACCTCTCTCAGGTGCACATGGCCGATCCCGAACTCCCGCCCAAGGCCCGACCGCCACACACAGCGCCCTCCGACCTCCACCCCTTTCCAGGCCTCCACCTCCTCCCCAGCCCTTCTGACCCCCGCCTCTCCACTCGGACCCCATCCACCTACGCCACCCTCTGGGATCCCGAACACCTCCAGTGCAGGGTCCCACTCCGGGATTCGGGACCCCCTGACCCGCGAGACCCTCCCCCTCAGACCTACACTCCCTAGTTCCCGGGAGCTCCAGCACCTCTTTCTCCAGGCCCCTCCGCCCCAGAGTCCTGACCCACTCCCCGCGAGCTCCTCCTCCGCCCAGGTGCCCATTCCAGACCCGCTCCACCAGTGCCTGGGATCCCCACCACCTCACTTCCTGGCCCCCTCCCGAGAACCCTGAGCCCCTCCTACCCGCTGGACGCCTCGGACGCGGATGCATGACAGGATAGCCTCGCCTGCTCTGCCGCGACCAGCTCAAAACCGCAAGCGGAAGCGCGGTGAGACGGCCGCTTCCTTCCTGTTCCAGGCGCTGCTTCCACCGCCCGCTGGGGCTGCCCGTCCCAGCCGCAAGAGCTACGCCCGCCCGTTCAACACCACGGGATCCCCGTAGGTCCGCCACAGTCCCGCCTCACCCGCAGCTCTCACAGAGCCCGCTCACTTCCGGTTCGCCGGGGGCGGGGCCGCATCCGGGTCTGCGCGAGGTCCCGCCCTGGCCCCGCCCCCTGTCCACACCAGGGCTGCGGCTGTTGGGAAGCCACAGGCGCGGGCCAGCCTGTGGAGGCTGGAATAAGTCCTTACCTAGAACGGGTATGTTAAGAGAGCTGCAAAGTAGACAATCAAGCCTGGGGTTTCTGAACTCATAGTCCCGCCCTGGCGAGAAGTGAAAAATGAGCCACACAAGGGGGAAGTAGTGCCCCTTCCCTCAAGCACTGAGGACTCACATGCAGTGACTGTGACCATTCTGCAAGAGGGAACATGCCTCTACACCCTCCAGCCCTCATTCATCCCTCCACTCATTCTTCCAGCCATCACCCACACACCCATCACTCATTCACTCACTCGTCCATTGTCCAACCACACCTATTTCTCCATTCTTTAGCCATCTTTGCACACACTCATCTGTCAGTTATTCCTGTATCTACCTAGAGAAGGCAGATGTGTGCCAGGGGTAGTAAGATCAACACGCCACGCGGGACAGGCCCCCAGGAGCCTTGCAAAGGAGGAGGACAGTCCGACGCATTAATGTACATATATAATTGGGAAATGAGACAAATGTTATAAAGAAAAGTAATAAGAGTTCTACTGGTGAGCAGATAGTACCTGAATATATCTAGATAGATATGTCGGAGCAATTCATATATGAGGCAAAATCTGAAGTTCTGGAGTGAACAAGATGAAAAGGGAAGAGTTTTCCAGGCAGAGGAAACAGCATGTCCAAAGGTCCTGAGACACAAAAGGTCTTGCCAGGGAAGAAGTCAAAGAAGCTGGGCATGACCAGGATGCAGGGATGCACCAGGTCAATGACAGAGATGGAACAAGGTCATCAAGGAGCTGATGCGGGACAGCAAGGACTTTGGTGTGTATTGTCAAAGAAATAGGAACTTCTTTGGAGAATGTCAAGCAGAGGAGAGACTTCATAGAGCTTGCACTGTACCAAGATCCCTGTGGCTGTTGTGCATGGAATGAAAGACAATGTATGACAAGAACAGCAGGACCCCATCAGCCAGGGAGGAGCCTAATCAGCCAGTTCTGGCAAACACTGTGGACAGGTGAGACAAGTGAGGCTCTCCTGTAACACAGGATGATTTTCACTGGGGTCCTTGAGGCGTGAGAACAGTTCACATGTGGATTCCTAGAGGACGCTAGGATGCCTGAATTGAACAAACTCCCAAACAAGGGTGAGCAGATTTCAGACCCTCCATCTGGGAGCAGCCCAGGCGGGGCTGAGTGGAGGTGACCCAAGGCACCCCTGAGAGCCACCCCTGCAAGCTGTAGAGGTGAGGACTCTCCAGGACTTCCCAGAGGAACTGCTTGCTTCCTTCTGCTACCTCCGCCCACTGTGTGTTCCTGCTCTGTCAGGTGTCACGGGTCTGAAAAACTGTCCTCAAGTAGCACCTACTTGTACTTGTACTTGCAAGTACAAGTAGCACCCACCCCTTTGTACTTGTGGGTTCTACATCCAAGGAGTCAACCAACTGCAGACTGAGAATATTTCTTTAAAAATCTGCATCTGAATTGGTTTGGTGATGTGTGCTTGCACTTCCAGCACTGTGAGGCTGAGGTTTAAGTCCAGCCTAAGCAATTTAGCAACTTACTGAGACCGCCTCAAAATACAAAGGGCCTGGGACAGAGCTTAGTGTGAAGGCCTTGGGCTCCACCTCCAGCACCGGGGTGAGTGGAGTCCTGTCTGTACTGAATACATGCAAATGTTTTTTCGTGTATCTCCTAAAGAGCAAACTACTATTCCCATAGCATTGCCACTGTATTAAGTGTAAGTTATCCAGAGAGGACGCAAAGCATCTATGCAGGGACACATGCAGGTTCTACAAATATGATGTATTTTCTACAAGGGCCTGAGCAGCCATGGCTCTTGGGTCCTTGGGGTAAATATCCCACATGCATTTATGTCTCCTCCTTTCCTCGCCAAAATTCTGTGGTGAGAATGATTAGTCAGTGATTTTGCCTTCCAGTCATTTATCAGTCTCCATGGGGGAATTTACCATGTGAAACTTGAAACCCATGTGAAACTTGAAAACAGCAGGGTAACAATGTGTGAACAAAGGCCTGACACAGCAGGCAAAGCTGAGCTTGTCAGTGTCCCACCCCCAACTGGGCTGGGAGCACCTCCCTACCCTGGTCTAACCAGGCCCAATCTCCAGCAGGACCCCATCTTCTCTTGCCTCCTGCCCCGCTACACTTATGTCATCCAGCTTCCTGTCCATTGATTTCCATAGCGACACTACCTTCAGAGAACCTGCCTGGAGCAGGAAGCAAAACAGCTGTGCCTGAGACAGGGATTTAGTTCAGTGTCATGAGTGCCCGCCTGGCAAGCATGAGGTTGTAAGCTGGATGTCTGGTAACACACACACACACACACACACACACACACACACACACACACACACAATCCAGCCGTACTTAACTTTTAACAAAATCTTCAAAGAACTCTTCATTGGCAGTGAAAAATGTTTCAGAACTTTATTGAAAGAAAGCAATAAATAATATTGTAATTAAAATAGTTCAAAAGTAGACTGCATACTTTCTTACATACTCAGAAATTTCACAAAAGATTAACAGAAAAAGAACAGTAATATGGATTGTACAAGTAAATTGTAAGCAGAAACTAAATTAAAAAGGCATGCTGCCTCTACCTATGTGTCAGTTGCAAAATAAATAACCATGATCTGACTCCTTCCTTGGCTTTTTAATATGCCAGTGAAAAGCAAGTTACATTTGCTACTTGTTCAATCCAAAATGGCTATGTCATCACGATCTAAAAATGTATGACTAGTTGAAACATGTTTATAAACCAATGTAAAAAGGTGACTCACATATGAAAAATAAGGCCTTGATTAGTTAGAGTTGTACAACTTTATTTTCAGGGTTTCCTGCTTTCATCTGCTCATGCACCAATGTCTGTGAGCACAATGCTCAGTGATTGGTCCTCTAAGAATAGCTGGAGGCACCTTCCACATGCTTGCAGGAAAGAGTCAGGGAAGGTGCCAGGCTGGAGTCGACCCCTGGCCACTCCAGCCCTGATCAGAGCAGGTCCCAGCTCATGGCTTCTGGTCAAGTCTCTGAAGACAAGCTCCCCAAGTCCAGAGACAGAATGGGGAAAAGGGAACCAGTGCTAAGAAAGTTCTATAGTGCTCTGGTATAAGGGTTCAGTCCCGACTTTATTAGACGCTGATTTCTTGCTAGAAAAAGGACAATTAAGGTCAGTCAACCTCAAAATATGACAACTGCTTGGAATGAAGTCTACTGATTTTAAAATGATTGATGTAGAGCAAGGTGAAGGTTAATGCATATTTTTTATGTCACGACCATTTTATAAATGTAGTAAAATACTTTTTTCAGTGATGGCTTATCATTAAAAAGTTAAACAGTGATAATTGCAGTAAGTGCACAATTTACAAAAGCCCCATATTTGTTTATGGGGTTTATACATACAAGCATTACAGTACATTCATTTGAAAGACTAAAATTAGGTATAAGCACATGAATTGCTTCCAGAGATATTTATAGCCTAGATATACATGAAAAAGTGAGTAACTATATAAATGTAAAGTCCTAAGTGTACATAAATATAAGAAACATTAAATTCTAAAATATTTTCTCTATGATATTCATGAAATTTTCACTAATTAAAAACTCTGTAATAAAATATTTTAGGAGTCCATATAACAATTATTAACAGCGATTTCACTGAATTCAAAATGTAGTCTCTGTTGGATTCAAAATGCTGCATATCATCTGTAGAAGTAGTGGGGAAAACTGGAAGATAAAAACAAACAGAAAGCCTCTGTTAACACAAACCACCTGGAAAAGGACCATGACCTCAGACACACACGCTGGGGCCCACTTCCCCAGGCCTCCTGCCTCCTCCCGGCTGGAGCATCAGCAGACAGAATACTGAGGGCCATGCTCATGCACTAGAGAGATCCTTCACTGTCTAGACTGTGTGACAGTTCTAAAACTTAAAGTTAAAAGACTATGGAACCGATCCCAGATTCCAGCTGAGGCACTGAACATGAGCACAGTAGGCAAATCTCCAGCTGGGGTTCTGAACATGGGTCAAAGACACCTCTCCCATCAATCAGTCAGAGCTCCAGACTATGAGGATAACAGGTGGCTCACTGGTGCCCAGGCAGGGCAATGCAACTTTGTGTTTAAAATGTAATCTGTCTGCCATGTATGGTGGCACATCTGCAATCCAGTATGCTGGAAGGCTGAGGCAGAAAGATTGCAAGTTTGAACAAGGACTAGATGATCTAGGAATACCCTGTCCCCCCTAAAATGAGGG